ATAGATATATATATATATACATATATACTTTTCTTAAGTTTTAACATATAGATGCACAATTTACACACTAATTCATTTTCAGAAGCGCTTTTATTCACACTCTGTGGCTTTCTAGTGCTTGCAATAGCTTCTCGGTGAGCTAATGCCAGCTCTGCAAAGGGAGAGGGATCTTCCCACGCTTTGCAGGCTGTAAAGCTGTGGCTTGCACAGCTCTAGTGTGTCACACCTCGCTCACTGGCTCCATCGCGAAGCATAGGTGCTTCATGAGTCGCGCCACACCGTAAGCCCAAAAAACGGTCGGGTGACAAACCTGGTACCATTTGTCACTGCACTCAGCTATGGTATGGTGGCATGGTCGGGGCATGAAGCAGGGGTACAGCTTGGAAATGCTGATATTCATGACATTTTAAACACATTTTTTATTACTTTTGTGTCGAGTTGTCAGCATTCTAAAGGTGAGAAAGCAAGCAGCAGCGACAGCAAGAAAAGAAAAATTTAAGACCGCTTTCACCAAGAATCAATTACGAGCACTAGAAAGGCATGGAGTGTAATTAAAACGCTTCTAAAGGTGAATTAGCGTATAAATTAAGTACTTGTGCCTCAAAAATACAAAAAAACAATGTAAATATAGATATAAGGATAAAAATATACACCAGGAGGACTTAAACCAAAACTACATTCTGTAAGTTTGAAATTTGACACCTTAAACCACTTGGTAACCACCCAATTTTATTTCCAGGTCGTTCATCGAGGTATATGAATTTTGTTTGCAGCTGTCGGCTAGAAGAGAGGTTGCCTTATTTTAATTTACTTTACTATTCCCACCAAATATGACAAGTGATAAAGAATAGAACCTCATTTGGTTGGCCGAGGCACTGTGCTTGCATCAAGGCAAACTAGCCTGTCTTGCTGGGTTCATATTTTGTTTCATCACCTGTTTAGGATTCTGTAGTCGCTCATCAAAAGAAGAAAAAAAAACTGACTAATTCTGACTTATTCTGGTGTGCAGGTACCCTTGGCAGTAAACTCTGCTAAATGGGGCAAAATATAGATACTTGTTTTTAGCAAATATGCATTGTTTTAGCAAAATGAGCTACACTATTTGACTAACGTGAAACAGAACGAGCCTCTCCACTTGGGTCTTTTTTCATCTCTCGCAGACACTATTTCCTGCTTTTTGTGGTTTGTATCAGACTTTTGTATTCTGTCCGGCCAAAGCATCTGTGTTACACTAAGACTGGGTTCTTTAGGATATCTACAGGTATTCTTCGCAGCAAATGGCTTCCAATCAGGAACACGAGTTTGTTCTCGGCCACCGAGAGCAAGTGTTTTCAAGGTGAGCTATTGCCCGCCTATATGAGTTTTGTATTTCATTCCTCTTGAATGCCATAACCTATGTGTAGTGGTCTTGCATTAGTATTTTGTTGTCTCTCTTCTGCAAAACACCCAAGTTTGACTAAGACCGGGTTCTTTCTTATACATGCAGTTCTTGGTGGCAAGCACCAGCCAATCAAGGCCAGAAGTTTGCTCTTTGCCGCGCATGGCAAGTGTTTTCAAGGTGAGTGATTGATGCCTATCTGAGTTGTTTGTTTCATTCCTCACAGACACTCTATTTCCTGTCTGTATAGTGGCCTTGTTTCAGGCTTTTGTGTCTCTGTCCGGCCAAAGCATCTGGGTTAGACTAATCTTTAGGATATGTGCAGCAATTCTTGGCAGCAAGTGGCTGCCGATCAGGAACACGAGTTTGTTCTCGGCCACCAAAAGCAAGTATTTTCAAGGCTAGCTATTGCCCGCCTATATGAGTTTCAGCATTCATCAAGGAGCGCAAAATCAAAGCCCGGGGGTTGGCCATTGCAAAAATGTTGACTCGGAAGCGCATAGGGAGGAAGCTTTATAAAATATCCACCTGCTTCTGCAAGACAAACCAAAACAAAGAATGTGGGTTCCATTTGAAAAAAAAACAAAAACATTGTCAGCCCGAATTAACTCGGGGGCGGCACGGAGCAAACAAGCCACGGTACGAGTATGCTTGGTTCAGGCGTTTGTAGGGGTGGTAGATGACTCAATGTTTTCTAAAAAAAATATTTTTTTTTCTAAAAGTGTGGCGGTCGAATATTCAGGGATGGGCATTGAGTCGGGATGTTAAGGTAAAAATTTCATCCACATGCCGGGATTCATGTGCCTTGTCCCCCTAGCTAAGGGGGACAAGGCCTTCAAAATTTTGGGTTCGCAAAAGGGGTGCGTCAGTATTGACGTCTCATTTTACATCATGCGTCTCAATTTAAAACGCACTATAAATGACATGCCTGAGATTCGTTTGGGTGTACTTCCTCTCAGCAAGTATATGGTTCTGTCTCAAAAAGGTCTAATCTGATGTTGACCGCTCCTCAAGTCTCCACCGACGATTCATCAAGACGAGACCAACCGGGACACTAGGGAGGAACTGCTGAAGCAAGGCAGGCTACTTATACGACAGCTTCTTGCGGACAAGAAACAAAAATAGATAGATGGTGGGTGTTTTATTTGCTATGCCTTTTGGCGTGCACATTATGTTTGTTATGTTTCAAGATTCCTGCAGAGTTCGGTTTCAACTATTGTAAAATACCGAGCATGCGCCCGGGTCGCAGAAGCGCCTACCCTCTGATTCGGAACGATCCGCAAATAAGCAAAGGGCATACCAGACACCCATCCACCTGTTTTGAGCCGTGCTCAAAATATTGAAAGAGCACATCAAGCGCCAGGTGCTGTGGCGTCTTTGCCACAATAGCGCCAGTCGCCGAGCTGACAGATCCGTGACTGGCGCAAGCCATGGCATGGCCTTTGGGAACCAGGGAATCGAGATTAAAGAAGTAGCGCAGAAATTGGAGGCGAGTGGTGAAGGTGAGCAGAGTTAACAGAAAACAAGGACGAAGGGAGTTCCGTCGCATGAGGCATCTGTGTCCCGTGCATGTAATTTTGAGTGTGCTGTAGGTGGCTACCCAAAAAAATTGTTACTTGGACGTAACTAATTGCAAACCTCTCTTGCAGTTTCCATGGCCCACAAGCCAGCCGGCGCCAGTTCGTTCTCGTTCAAAGGTGAGGATTCTAGATTTTCTAGATTGCTCTGAAGCAGCAATACTGAAGCCAGACAAGCGGTACGGCATATTTAATTGACAGAACGACTGGGGACGCTTTCACTGAAGCTTGTTTTGCTGCAATACACGTGTGTATTGCAGCAAAACAAGCTTCAGTGAAAGCGTCCCTACTCGTTCTGAGCTCCGTCAATTAAAGGTGCCGTACCGCTTGTCTGTCTGGCTTCAGTGTTGCTGTAGGCGACAAAACGTGTGCCCAGTTTTGTCACAAGAGGCATATTATGTCACGCACATGTAATTTTGAATTTATCCGGTTTATTGTGCTGTAGGTGGCTGGTCAAAGAAATTGATACTTGGACGCAGCCAATCGCAAATCTTTCTGGCAGTTTCCACAGCCTAAGAGCCAGCAGGTCCCAGTTTGCTTTTCTTTAAAGGTGAGAATTCCAGATTCCCAAAGCAGGAATACTGAGGCCATATGACCGGTACAGCATTTTTAATTGACGGAGCTCAGAACGACTGGGAGCTCCTGCATTGAAGCTTATTTTTCTGTAATACAAGCGGGCGACATTGACACGTGGCCAGTTACGTCGCAAGAGGATATCTATGTCTCGCGTATGTAATTTTGAATCTTTCAGACTTGGTGTACTTTACGTGGGTACTCAAAGTAACTGCTACTTGGACGCAACTAACCGCAAATCTCTCTTCCAGTTTCCACGGCCTACAAGCAAGCAAGCACCAGTTCGTTTTTCCTCAAAGGTGAGCATTCCAGATACTCTAGTTAGGTGCGAAGCAGGAATAGTGAAGCCAGACGAGCGGATACATATATTTAATTGACCGAGCTCAGAATGACCTGTGGCAGCGGCATTGAAGCTTATTTTTCCACAATCAAACGCAGACATAATTTTGAATCTATCCGGCTTGGTGAAGGATTGCTACTTGTCGCAAACTAATCACAAATTTTTATTTTGCAGTTTCTATATGGCTACAACTAGCAGGTGCTGTTTTCATTAAGGTGAGGATTTCACATTCTGTTTTCAAACATCAAGTTTTTGAATGAGAGTCCTAAACAATTAACTTTCTTTTGCAGTAAATGACAGATCCTCCAGTTCAGGAATATGTTAAATATATTTGGAATGGATAAGTCCAGTGTTTTGCTTCTTTATTCACAATTTGACAACAGCAACATTTTTGAAATTTATCACTCAGAAATACACACAAGAAGAGACTGCGTTGCAGAGAAATGTTGCGCTAAACGTGATATTCCAACTCGTATATAGTTTTATTGGTAGCCGATATAATATATTGGATTCAAATATCCATAATACGCTGAGTATATTGGAATCGTAAACACTTATTGGATCCCCATACGACATATGGGGATCCAATAAGGGTTTATACGGTATTGGATTCCAATATTTTCAGCGTATTATGGATATTGGAATCCCATAACAAATCCTTATTGTAATACAATACAATAAATGTAATGTTTTCCAATACACTGTCTATATTGTATTGCAATACAATAAAAAGATATTGTTTACCAATATCCATAATACTCTGTTTATATTGGGGTTTTCCAATAAATAGGGTACACTCAGTGAATGAGACTAGGTGCCATTTTTCGTGGTTACCGATAACGCCGGCTGCGCTCCATGGGACAGTTATTTCTTTCACATAAAAAAAAAAAAGAACGTAAAAGTGAAAACCCCGGAGTTTTAGATAGGAAAAGAGAGAGAGAAAATAAATGGTCGTTGCGCAGATATTGCAATCTTAAAATTATGCGAGGTAATAGACTATATACAGATGAAATAGAGTAAGTCTACATGAATCTGTATGCGGCCATCAGTGAACAAAACTACATTCATTATAATACCTATATTTTCATATAGTTCCGTAGGAAATAAAAAAATCCAGTCATAATGCACGTACCCATAAGAGTTACGTCCAGAGTCAGGCCCTTCACTTGAGCGAGGTCTCTGCTAAATTCAAGTGGAGGAACAACACGTCAGTTTAAACATTTTTTAGTCAATTTTTTGGATTAAATACCTTTTAAAAATGCTAACATATTAAGAATGCGAATAAGGTTTTTCACTCACCCTGAAAACAAATAAAAAAAATCTGGATTCCCAAAAACGGGCCTTTGACGAAGAAACACAGATAGCTTTCTCAATGACTGTTCAGCCAAGACATATCCCGATGAATAAAAATATACGAGTGATTCTTCCTAGAAAATTATTCTAAAGGTAATAAAAGCACTATCCAGAAAATATTATTTCACTCACCTGATATGTCAGTCGGTACATGCCGACAATCCGCATGGTAACAAAGGGGTCGGACACCAGGGTAAACCGAAGTTTCACCTAAATTTAGAGTAGAGTTGCATTCCTAAATATTAATTTATTTTTGGCATGTGTATTGTTGTAATATCCAAATAATACATCATAGATTTTGTAACTCTCTAACGTACTTTTTGATGCCCTACTAAAACACGATTTAATTAGGAATCAATATTTTTTTTTAATTTTTTGCTTTCATTTACTTCATAAATGTGGCATATAAATGAAAATTATCATGGTTTCATTTAATGTAAAAAGTATTTTGAAGGTGTTTAGACTACTTGTCGTGTTATTCAATTTCAGTAGCGCAATCAGTATTCGCTGTTCATTGAGAGTATAGCAAAACATATCGTACAACAGAGAAATCCCAAAACGTGAAATGCATAGCCGTTTTAACAAAATACCTGCGATTGATTGGGTAGTAAAGAACGCTAGGGGTGAGAAATCTTGGCGAAGAAAATAAACGCGTGTTTGTCACTTTTTGCTTCTGGTGTATTTTAAAGAAGGGGAGCGCTGACATATCCCATAGCAACATCTGCAACGCTAACGAACACACTCCTGTACTGGTCAAGACATTTGCTTTTGAGGAGACCCGACTGCGTTAATTCTCCTAGCTTTTCTTTTTAGACCCATCGCGGGGACCGCTATTTTCATAGCAAACGTCCTGTGCCATGAAGTCCCGCGGCACCACTGGCCTCCATGGTACGGGCTGCTGCCATTCCGCTGTGCCGCGGCTCTACAGACTCAAATAAATAACGACCAAAGAAAGACTGAAGGTCGTAAGGAGTCATAAGTATGGGTTTGTGGTTTGGCCGTTTTGTGACGAGTTATATGCTTTTGGACGAAGCCCGAAGTACCACATATTTTCCCGGCCATGCATTTCCCGGCAAATTTTGCTGGGAAACTAAAGTGTTATTTAGGCTACGTGACGTCGATTGATGTCACATGGCCTGACATAAAGCGATCTATACAACAAATCAGTTGTCCCGCTAGAGTAAGCAAGGAATTCGATATCTCTTCACTTGACGTCACGTGACATATACACTAATTCAGTTTCCTCGCTAAATTTAACAAAAAATTTCCTGTAACGTGACACCCCGTCGCGTGACCTCTACATGAACTCAGTTAAATCGCTAAATATGCCGAGGAAATCGATGTCACTTGTCCCAAACTCCTTCGTTCTCCTACCAAATTTAGCGACGAAATCGACGTCGCGTGCGCTGACGACAAGTGACTCATCAGTACAATTCGCCCAGTAGACCTAGGAGGAGAATCGACGCAAAGTGAGCTATACGCCTCGCAAGTGGGCTCATTTTCGTCTTCTGCGCATGAGAAAGGAAGTAGCGGTGACGTCAGAACGCCGAGCCCTGATTGGCTGATCGCGACCCCCTATCTCAGCGTCGTCTGCTCCTTTGGAACGTCGTCTGCTCGCAACGTCGTCTGCGTCTGTCTTATACGCCTCGCAAGTGGGCTCATTTTCGTCTTCTGCGCATGAGAAAGGAAGTAGCGGTGACGTCAGAACACCGAGCCCTGATTGGCTAATCGCGACCCCCTATCTGAGCATCGTCTGCTCCTTTGCAACGTCGTCTGCTCGCAACGTCGTCTGCGTCTGTCTTATACGCCTCGCAAGTGGGCTCATTTTCGTCTTCTGCGCATGAGAAAGGAAGTAGCGGTGACGTCAGAACGCCGAGCCCTGATTGGCTAATCGCGACCCCCTATCTGAGCATCGTCTGCTCCTTTGCAACGTCGTCTGCTCGCAAAGTCGTCTGCGTCTGTCTTATACGCCTCGCAAGTGGGCTCATTTTCGTCTTCTGCGCATGAGAAAGGAAGTAGGGGTGACGTCAGAACGCCGAGCCCCGATTGGCTGATCGCGACCTCCTATCTGAGCGTCGTCTGCTTCTTCGCAACGTCGTCTGCTCGCAACGTCGTCTGCGGCTGTCTTACCGTTATTGCGACTTTCGAAAGTCAACGAGCTCGACTTCGCCTTTCAGTGAGGGCAGACGAAATAACTCGAGTGGTACGTTGTTTTTGTCTAACAACTAGCAGACGCGCATCAAGGAGGTAAGTCAAAGGACTCACTGGCGAGGTGTCCCGAGGCGCCGAGGTTTGTTTGCTAAGAACGGAGAGGTGAGGGTGGTTAGTGCCCCGCAAGTTCCCTCCCAAATATTTTTTCCCTGCTTTCGTGTGGGGCGAGACTACTCAGTTTTTAACGGCGTCGGCGGGTTTGCGCAGTTAACATTGTCTGCTTTACGTCTGCTAGTCAAAGCGAAGGCTGCTTTACCTTTCCAGCGTCTGTCGGAGATTCACCGCTTTTTTACCGGCGAGAGTCACCGTTGCCTCGGAAAACAAGGAGATGACAAGAGGAAGAGATTGACCTCTTAATCTAAAATGGAGGTTAGCGATCAAAGTATCAGACGGAAAGGTTTCACAAGGGTCGCGCGGGCATATTCCATTCAGCACGCCAGCCGGTCGTGGGCAGACGGTCGCCGAGTCAGAGTGCCTGCTAGGCCTATCTGCCGTGCTCGCTTGGTCGTTGTCGATGGAATCGTGGCCGTTGGAGCTTTTCCCGGGTGCTTGTGGATCCAGCGTTCTTGTTCGTCGTGGTCTGTTTCAAGTACTTTTTACTTTTTTCTTGCTGCTTGAAGTCGGGACGCGTGAGAAGCGCACGTAAAAAAAGAAACGTCCGTTGGTCGTCGCGACCGCGACGCTGTCGTAAGATTTGATCGTAAGAAGTGCGCTGTCGTAGGATTTCGTCGTAACCTGCGAAAAACTTACGAAAATTTCGTTTCGTTAATACGAATTTGTTCTCAAGTTTTGTCTTACGCATATTATTGGCGTAAGATCGTTTTGTGAACCTGGCCTCTGGCCTCTGCATTTTCGAAAGTCGCAGGAAAGGTAAGACAGATGCAGACGACGTTGCGAGCAGACGACTTTGCAAAGGAGCAGACGACGTTGCAACAGAGCAGACGACGCTCAGATAGGGGGTGGCGATCAGCCAATCGGGGCTCGGCGTTCTGACGTCACCGCTACCCCCGGCGCAAGAAGCAGACGAACTTGCCCTCGGCATACACCAGTTTAGTTTTCCCACTAAATGTTTCAGGGAAATTGACGTCGCGTGATGCACCTTGTTTCTCCCTCTATGATCCGGGAACTTATAAAAAGGCACTTTACTTTAGAAATGTCGGTTTAATGTCTTTTAAATATTGTTAACCAATCCCACCTTAATTGTTGCAATTCATGCAATATAGGACTTTAAAAAGAAAGGTCGTTCCCCACTTTTTGCTTCAAGTTTTGTTGTTTTGTTTTGATTGTTTTTTCGGGAGTAGTTTTTTTTCGTACATTCGGTTTCTTTCGTTGTCTTAAACAAATTTGCGTTTATTACGGTATGCTGAAGTATATAACACGCTGTCGTGTGATTTTTCAACCTCCTAGGACCATGAGTGGAACCATAATACTTGGAAGCCGGCAGGGTATTCAAAAGAAAAGGAAACGAAGGAAAAGTTGTGATTCCCAAAAAATGAAGTAGCCTCGCAGGAAGTTCACTGCGGGTTTTGTTCTCGGAAGTGATGACAAGCGCGGCTAGCTGAGCGGAACAGACGTAGGGCCTAAGGGACGTGAGAACAGCAAAGGGCGCAGGACCCCGACTCTCGCGCACGACAGGCATGGCGTAAGCGGCTTTCATACTTCGCCTAAAACACACCTCTTACAATTATTCCATTAAAACTAAGCTCATGGAGGAAACTATCCTAAAGCACATCGACTAAAAGCAAATCTTCCAGAGCACACCTCCCAAGTAACGCAACAGCTGAGCCCGTGAATCGCAGCCCACTTTGTGTTGTCTTAATTGCGTTTTTTTTATTGAAGCATTGCTGACACTGGATATCCTTAGGTTTTCTTAAAGTTTCGTAAAAACGGGATCGAGGGTTACTCTCTGAGTTTATCGACACATATCGGAAAAACAAAACTCTAGTTATGAGCCGTAATAATGAAGTCCCTCGCGCACAGACGCCTAAGTCTAACTGACATTAGCATATTCAGGAGTAGAATTCAAGCGTGACATGGCAGATGGCATGCTAGAACAGCCTTGTACGGCAAGTACATGCTTCCCGTACCTGTAAATTTTAGCGCGAAAGCAATACCCCCCCCCCCCAAAATAAAAATAAAATAACAACAGCAGATTGTATTGTTAGGAAGTTAACCAAGACTTCTTTTAAATATTTTTATATAACACTTGTATATGGCTTTATTCTCGAAGCAATAAAGAAAAACACAACCTGCTGGTATTAAAGCTTTTGTTTAAGTGGTTGGTTAATTCCTAATCAGAACTCCTAATAAGCGCGATTTTTTCCTAATGTTACCAATTAGATTGCAGTAATGCTCTTGCATAGCGTTTTCACCAACGTATCTTTGTTTGTTTCCGTATGTCTTAAATTTTACAAGATCATGATTGTCTTCAGATTTGAGAAATTTATGATATAAACTTTTTTATAGTAAATTTTTCTTTCAATAATTTCTGCGAAACCCATGGTTTCTTTGCTCTATTGCTAGGCTGTAAGAACTTATCAGGAAAGGATTAGTTATAAATGTCTTGGAAAGTTTCCAAACATGTTTCGTATGCAGCAGCTGGAGAATCATTGGCATAAACAGGGTCCCAGTTAGCGGTACCAATGAAGGTAATAATCGGCTGTGTCCTTTGCAACGTAATGTTACGTACTCTAAATCCTTCTTATTTGTATTTGCAACCTGAGAAGTGTGAGTTAATAACAAGATGGGAAAATGATCACTAATGCTGTAGCTAATTAAACCTGACGCATCAATATCTTCCTGGTTGCAGTCTGTAATGAAGTAAGGTAAGCCAGTTTCTGTTATTTTCGTTGCATCCGTTGTAACGCAATCGAAACCATTTGATTCGACTACAGAAATAGTTCATCGTGCATAGATGGCGTTTTTAAAATGTCACTATTAAAATCACCTCGCAAAAAGAGGGAATAATTATTGTCATTAACATAACTGAATAGTTTATC